GTTATGGGAGACAGTGTCTTACAACATTGGCTGTTACAAAAAATACCAAGTAATTGCCAAGATTTACAAACGATTTGTGTGATGACCAAAAAAAGATCTTATCCCAGTCCAAGCTCTAGATACTTTTTCTCTGGGACTGGTAGTAATGACAGTCTCTACATGGCAAAGCAAAGAGCACTGCAGTTTGCTCACAGCAGTAATCTGGACTTACTTTTTTCCTGTAGCGATTCAAATGTGACTTCACCCTGAGCGTTATCTTCCAGATCTCCATAGTGTAGCACCTTGTGATTCAGAGCCAATCGACAATACCAAAATCTTTCTGGAACATATAAAAGTAGCACAAGATGAACAAGATCATTCACACAGGGTCTTACAGCCACCGCATTATAGTCTCCCCACCCAATCCCTCCATTCCCCCATCTCCTCAGCCTTGCTGAGGAAAAGTGTACACTGTTGCATCCCAAACTACTGACTGGTATAGTTAGCCAAGATGACCAGCAACAAGCTTTCCTTTCTAGCAACACACCAACTCACAGGTTAATTCACCAGGTCTTACTTATCTTCAGTTCTTCACACAAACAACTGCACAAGACAGTGTTACCCTCACCTTGTCTTCTGCGATTCCCAATTTTTCGAAAGCTACTCCCCTCACAGAGCCTGTTCAGGCGCTGCTGCTTTATCAGCTCCAAGATCTCAGGCTGGATTTTCTCTCTCAGCTCTCTGTCAATAAAAAGAAAAAGGAAGAGTGATCAAGAACGGAAAATGACAGTGTGGAAGGCAACTATGCCCATTAGGCACTTACACAATGGGTGGTGACTGGAAGTCATCCTGGCTCATTCTTTCAGACTGGCGTAATCGCAGAATCTCTGAATAGCTCAAGCTGCGCAGTTTGCTCTTGAACTGGTCCAAGGAGTTGGGTTTGGAGGGGAGAGCCCGTGTGATCTGTTCCCTCACAACCTGCATAACCTAAAGAGATTGGATAGAGACAAAAGCAAGTCACATTCTTGCTGTTTAACAGAAGTAGAGAACCACTGCAGGGCTCAGTAAGTGACCTCAAAGAACAGACAAGAAATAA